AAAACCGAGAGAGATTAACATGCTTTCAATTCCTGGGTATTGCCTTGCGATCCAGGTGCTGCCCTTGCCAGCTTCTCCTGCACGAGAGTGCAGCATTGTCCACTAATGGGGGGCCCATTCGGGCCCCTTGAGAATGAACTGACACTTCGCAGAATTTATGTGGATGACGAATCAGCTAGGTGGGGGCTTCCCCACCAATTGCCCGCGTCCTAAAAGCCACTCCGTGGCCATAGTTTGTTAAACTCACGAGTAATTTACACCCCACCGTGACAGCATCATCTTTGAAATGACGGTTGACCCCATGCGCCTCACCGCGGCTTCGCTGACATTCCCTGACCAAAAGAACGCCGTCAAGGGCGAGTCGGTGGGTCACTGGGCTACCGCTGACCCCTTGCTCTGTCCTGTCAAATCCCTCGCCCGTCTCGTCTGTCACATCCGCACCGCACACAACACGCTCAACCCATTGGAGGACCGGCGCTACTCCGCTCTACCAACACTACAACTCCGTACGTAAGAAATGGTACAACGTCAAGACCAAGTTCATCACCGATGCCTTTCGTGCTGCCGCAAAGCGGCTCGAACAGACCACCGGAATCTCCCACAAGAAAGTGTCCGCTCGCTCCCTTCGTCCGGGCGGCGCCACTGATCTCCTCTGCGCCCATGTGGACTCTGATGCCATACGCCTCCTCGGTCGATGGAAGTCCGACGACATGTTGCGCTATCTTCGAATCCAGGCCGCCCCCATCACGCATCACTACTCCCAGAAAATGCTGGCCCACGTGCCTAACCTTCCAGGGTGAACCTACTACAAGTTCCTCCCGCCTGCTCAGGGGCCTGCTACTATCGCAGATATCCTCCTTCACGCGGAACTATACGAGGACTAACCTCCCCTAGTCCTCGGCCCCAGGTCCTCGCCTCCACCTGGATAGGGGGTAACTTCTCCCAACCCGCTACGCTCCCTCCCGGTTCTGCCTTTGGCTATTTTGGTTGGCCGAATGTCGCACAATCCCGCGGTACTCACATCCCGCGGGACTGCCTCAGTCGTGCCTTGGTTCCCGCTCGGGATTCTATCAATCACGAGCGGCACCCTGGGTCGCGGAGACGGTCGCTCAGTAATTGGCCGAGTCTCTCCACCTCCCTATCACTACTCTAACTAGTCGTGCTGTGTGCTGTAGGCGAGCGCCGCTTGTCGGCCCTCGTTGTCGAGCAGTCGCACGGCAAAAGAGGACAATCGATCCGATCCCTATCCATGCCAGCGTGCCGGTGCGTGGAAACCTAACCCTCATGGGTTCTTCGACGAACTGACTCGCACTCACATTGCCAAACTGGTACCTATGCTCACAAAAACACAGAAATCGATTGCCCACACTTCGCTAACGCTACTCCGAATCAAGTACATCTCTAACATCTCTCAGGTTGCAACATCACCCAGTGCGTCCGTCCTGAATATGCTGATACCCAACATGAACATGTCGCGCATTAGTGATAACGCTTGCCTTCGCCAAGATCAGTCTCTGAAGGCAATAGCACCCTTCGGAAGACCGCTCAGTATCGTAGCAGACCTGAAGAACACAACTATGCAAGACCGGCCAACTTCCTTCAGACCATTGAACAGTCGATCGCAAGAAGGTTGTCTCCTTCTCTGCTCACAATTCTGCCTTCAGCCGAGCTGCAAGCAAGAACTAGAATAGATTAACCCACCTCTCCCTCCCTGGGTTGGCCGAATGTCGCACAATCACGCGGGACTCACATCCCGCGGGACTGCCTCATTCGTGCCTTGGTTCCCGCTCGCGATTCCAGCAATCACGAGCGGCACCCCTGGGTCGCGGAGACGGTCGGCTCAGTAAATGGCCGAGTCTCTCCACCACCCTACACTACTCAACTAGTCGTGCTGTGCTGCTCTAGGCGAGCGCCGCTTGTCGGCGCTCGCTTTGCCCTCCAAAATGTCCCTTCGTTTTGCTTTCTGTGCCAAAAGTTTTTGGAAAGGTGCGCGACCTCATTTTTCTGACGTCAGTCTTCTTTCGAATTCCGTTGCTTTCTCGGCATTGCAGCCCCCCTTTCGTTCCTCCAAGGGTCCTCTTCCATCTTTTTGTGTTCAGCACCATAAACGCCACAAACGCCATCGTCTTGACACAAGATGGCAACACTGATATCAATGCGATTGGCAGGACGAAGCTTGTCTCGACAGCTCAATCGTCGCCATGGTTGGTTGGCGTCACACTTGTTGTCCTACAACACCGTCCAAGCCACAACAACACTACTACAAGCAAGATTGTATAATACGACATCTCATCACTACTACGTCTCACCAGACGATGATACAGACCAAAAAGCGCAAGTAGTCCAACCACTCGTATCCCTTTGTCACGCCCAATTGCAGTATCCCCAAAGCACCTTTACACTCCACGCCACTAAGTTGGATATTGGCCATGCTCGTCACGGTGGTCATGTCATTTTGGGACCCAATGGAGCGGGGAAAAGTCTCATTAGCAATGCTATTGCGCAAGCATTCCAACAGCATCGAGCTAAACTAAAACGACAGCAACAACCTGCACATGACGACGACGACGACACAGATAATACTACTTACTTTCAGACGGGACACATGAGTCTGAGTGACGATCAAGTCTGGCATGGCCAAGCCGTGGCGCACGTGTCTTTTGAATCGCACGAGGAGCTATTGGCACTGCGAGAAGACAATGATGAACCCATTTCGGTCCAAAAAGCCATTGCCAGTGGTGGGGCACTCAACAAGGCTGCACAATTCTTGGTCGTACGCTTTGGACTCTTTCCCTTGTTGCATCGACAAGTCACATCCCTCAGCACGGGAGAAATTCGCAAAGTATTGCTCGTCAAAGCATTGGCCCATCGACCGCGATTGCTCGTACTTGACAATGCCTTTGATGGATTGGATGTTCCCAGTCGCACGGCGTTGAAGGATTTGGTCGAACGGACATTGCAAGGATTTCGACCGGATATACTCGTCCAGGCGGTCGATGCCAAAGCCACGGCACATACACAAGTCGTCATGATGACGCATCGAGCCGAAGAAATTGTGGATTCCATGCAGACCGTCAGTTATCTGGTGCAAAAACAAGAGACCCACGATGACGGCAATCATGTGCAAACAATAATCCACACCGAGGAGCGGCAGGGACGATCCGGGCAGGACTTGTTGCAGCGTGCACTGTTACAGGATGCTGCCAACAACGATACTTCAAAGGAAGAATCGTTGTCGTTGACATGGCCCGAGGAAAACGACAATAATGATTCCATGTCGTCACTGCCAAGTCCTCAAACAGTGCAGGCATGGTGGCAACAGGGGCGTTCCGAAACCACGTCGGTAGTACAACAGAAACCACTGGTTTCCATGACAAATCTCACAATGCAGCGTGGACAGGCAACATTGCTAAAGGATTTGAATTGGACAGTCGAACGGGGACATCACTGGTGGATTGCAGGAGGAAATGGGGTTGGGAAATCGACACTCAGTCGACTATTGGCACGGCAACAGCAGCAAAGTGGAATTGTACAAGGAACCTTGGAGGTCGTTGTTTCGGACGATAATGATGACAATACTGAAACCGGAGATCGCCGTCGAAGGGGAGTCGGATGGGTCTCCACAGAAGAGCACATGGCATTGGCAAGGTCGCCACGATCCATAAAAGACGTATTGACCAGCCACTATGCTGCGACAACAACAACAGCAACCAGCCACAATGCCACAACGCCTCTTAAAGTCGCAACCTGCGTGTTGCAGTGGCTGGATATGCCCGCCCACGACCAGTTTTTGCAAAGACCGTTTGCCCAACTGTCACAGGGAGAACAAAAGCTTGTCTTGATTGCAGCGGCACTAGCTGCTCGGCCCAAACTGCTCGTATTGGATGAACCATGCCAAGGATTGGATGCCATCAAGCGCAAGAGAGTCTTGCAGTTGGTGGAACGGATCATCTCATCTACCCAAGAAAGCAATGATATACAGCTCATTTACATAACACACCACCCGGAAGAGGTCATGCCCAGTATAAGTCACGTCCTGCATTTGGCCAAGGGGCAAGACGTGTTCCAGGGGTCCAGGGACGAGTACGATGCCGATATCGTGGCAAAAAGGGCAGATTCTGTTAGTAGTGCAAACAACAACACCAGCAGCAGTGCAAAGAAGACACTGGTCTGATGAGCTGCAACACGAATATACGGATGGAGAGTACACATACGATACAGATAGATAGATTATGGCAGCATTAGAGATAGATGACTCGTTTTACAGTGTGTCCATATTTACACTTTCCAAAAGCGGAGCAATTTTTCCGTTGTCCCAGGCGTATGCACCGGCACGAATGTAGCTGATGTCATGAAGTGGCTGCCTGTGCAGTCTGAACCACCGGTGAGTTCAAAAATTCTGCTTCTGTTTCAATTCCTTTGCTGTCCACTTCCAGCCCAACCACTTGTGTGAGTCGGTCCAGTGCATCCTCTATGCCTTGTTGTGCTGCAAGGCCGTACAAGACAGTTGCCAACAGAACGCTTTCGTCACGGTTGCAAATGTCTGATGATGTTGTGGCATGTACCATCAAGTCGTCCGCGAGTGCAACTTGAGCGTTGGGATTGCCACGGACAGCAGATTCCCACCAGAACTGCCATGCCACATACTGGGACGATGGAATTTCTACTTCCTGTAGAGCCCGGGGAAGTTTGCTCTTGGTTGCCAGTAGCTCCAGTAAGCACTTGGCTTGTTTCTCAAGGTCCTTGCTGCCCCATTCATCTCCCTCGCAAATGCTTCCAACTCGAAACAGCGCAAACGAGTTCCCTCGGGCAGCACTTTGTAGGTATAGCCTTTGTGAGTTCAAGCCCATTGGACATTGTTTGCTTTGGGGAGGCGCCGTGTGATACATTGCTGCGACTTCTCCATCATTGTCTTCGTCGTCTGATGCCAGTTCGTTTGCACTGGCTAATGCACTGGCAAGGACAAACTGTGTCACGTCGTCATTTTCCAACTTCTCTTCATCTTGCAGAAGCCACGGTGACACACCCAAGTCTTTCTCATCGGGTTCCTCTGTAAACCAAACAATCAGGCTGGTACGGTCGCTCCCAGGCAAGACGTCCACGCCATGCAAAACGTCCCATGTATGGATCACGGCATCTCCTTGTTTGAGCGGAAAGTATCGTCTCAAGCTGGCATGATTGGAACTTGTTCCTTGATCTGTGTTGGCGCCGGTTGCAGTTGTGTACAAGCCGTTGTTGCCGCTTGCAGCAGCATTGTCCATGGCAATGACCGATGTCACTTTGCTAAAGACATCATAGTGGGCGGAGATGCCATTCCGAGCATCCTCACTGTCTTGTCCGTATCGTCGCAGGAAAATGTCGGACACTGCCAAGCGCTTGGATTGGCCCACCACCCTCGCTTGTGGCAACAGGTGGTTGTATATATACGGTTCTACCAGAGTGAGTAGCTCTTGAGTCTTTCGGCCAAAAGCAGACACAGATTCTTGTTCCTTCGGGAAGAGTGGCTGGCCGTTGCTGACAAGGTTTAGGTGGAAACTAGGAAGGCCATCCACAGAATCCAGATTGGTGCTGAGTAAGCCTTGTGATTCCATCTCCTTGACAATCGAAGAGACTTGTCCGGTGACATGTTTTGGGAATAGCTGAGGTTCAAGTCTCACATTTGATTGGCACTGTTTATTGGCGTCAAAGTCATAAGAGAGTCTCTGCTGGGTGGCCTGGCCTAAGTGTTGAAGTGCTTGGTATCCTCCTGGGGTACCACAATGAAGGAGAGCCTCTTCGGTCCATTCCTGGATGGTGGGAAGGTCGGGGGCAATGATCTCGTCAATCCCAGACTTGTCGGCAACGGTGGTAGGGGGTACCTTGGTTGCAAAAGTGCGGAGCGCCGCATTGACCTTGTTTGGGTTAAGACCGGATCGGAAAGGTGCTTGCGCACTTAGGAACGCAATGGCGACCTTTGTATACAGCACGAAAGAAGCAATCGAAATTTCCAAAAGACGAACTCGACTCAGCATGGTTTGGATTTTGCAATGGAGACGCAAGACGAAGCTACCTTCCCCAGGAAACAAAAAGAGTAACTCGAAGCTATGAAGCTTTAAAATATCATTTGAGTGGGATTGAGTGGCCCAGATCCATGCTCTTCAGGCACAACTCATCAGACTGACGATGACGTTCAAAAGAAAACGATAGAGATTCGACGAAAAGTTTCCTTTGGGTAACGAGGAAAATGACACAAAAGGTGACCGCAAGCAACTCCGTAGAGACCCTACTGGAACAATAGTCCAATCAGAATTGAGAATCACTATTGACGTGGATTTCCAAGTCATCCTTGCTTTGCTTTACCTTTGCTTTGCATTCGACACGATATCCTGCTTCGTAGGTATAAAAACGTGGCTCTAGCACCGGATTAGAGGGGACTATATATGGTGTGGATGGGTGTCAGGGGGTGGGAGGGCATTTCAGGAAGTGGCCATTACATGTCTACTGTACCGGTATGGCACATGCGTTGCCGTACACGGACCGCTACTGCAATGCTTCCCAAAGCCAGCCAGAGATGATTAGCGAACGGAGAGTCTCACAACATACATTGCCTTGACTCAATTGGACCATCAGGAGGAGCCTACAACATCCCGTCAATTGCCTTGCCACCGGTTTTCGTCACGTTCAAACCAAACATCAGGGTCCTCAGCCCAGAACAGCTTCGGCAATGTCACCCCACAAATGCTGGGACAAGCAGCGGACGCTACCGCCCATGATGGCGACTTGGCTGGCGTTGACACCCACGACAGGCAAGTCGCTATAGCTTTGAGCAATTTCCAAGGCCACTGCGTCCTCTGGGATATCAAATAAGGGTAGGTAGATTGCCATGTTTGTTCTCAGGAAATTGACGTAAATTCCTTTTGCCGATTCAAATCCGTCTGTAAAAGTCTCGTCGGCGACGGCGTAGGGGAGAGGGACAATGGTAATATTCCCACCAAGCTTCTCCAGAAGAAGCTGTTCATATGCTTGGTATGTGCTGGTGTCTGAAAAGTTGGAGAGAGCCAAGATTCCAGGAGCCAAAAAGTTGGCAATGCCATCAATGTGACCCAAGCGGACTACTTCTGGTTCTTCCGGTACAATGGCCACTCGATCAAATTCCAAGGCTTCCTCGAGTGCCCTTTCTCCAGCAGCTAGCTCTTCTATAGAAAACTGGCCGTATTCGTCCCCGTCGAGAATGCCATAAGGATCCCAGGGGCAACAAGTAAAAGCTGGTCCGAGTCCTGATCCGGATCGTCCTGCCAAGGCTGGATTATCCCGAAGTACTCGCTCCGTTACAATTGCCACGCTTTCGGTGGCTGTGTCTGTCCCGTTTTCATTACTACTAGTACTGATAAACACAATGTTTCCTCCATCCATAATGATATTGTCGTATCGAGTCAAAGAACTATCGCTGCTACGAAGCTCCCAGTACCCAATCAAATCCTCTGCGGAAGCGTTGATGTAAAAGACACTGTCTTCGTCCAGATAGGCTGGTTGATATGAAAATCGAGCATAGAGACTCGACGATAACTGCGTGGGCATAAAGTCCCGTGCCCAGATATCGTCTAATACAAAATCGAGCATGTCTTCTGCAGGAATGCCTCTGGATCTCAATTCCTGATGGGCTCCATTGTCGATGCCTCTTCGTGGATCTTTCGTGGCGACCAAGAGGACTCGCTCTCCAACGGCAGTAGCAGCTTGATAAAAGTCGGCATAAAAGTCAAACAAATCAGTTCGAACGTCGTCGTAGAAGCCATAGTGAGAAGCTGGTGGGGTTAACAAGACAAGAGAAGATACTCTCTGGGATACCACCACCATCAGAGCGAAAAAGAGGCGCTGCAAGGAGTTCATCTTGATCGGACGAGAGAGGGGATGCCCTCCGAAGTGTTCTGTCTTTCCCTTATCAGAGTCAATGCCGTGGGTGTCTGGAAGGAAAGGACTTGCGGGACCATGAGCAGGAGACACTTGAGAGAGTGGGATGCAGGACAAACAGAAACCAGGTGAAAAAATGACTGTGACGTCATAGAAAGTATCCACGTCTCACATTTAGGGAACAATGTGCGGTCTAAGGTTCATCGACATCAACAGCCACAGCCACACGACGACAGCAGCAAGCGGCAACACCTCAAGAGTCGCACCCTCCAACAAAGCAGCACGGAGTGATTGATTTGGTCCTCCTACGGCACTGCTGGCTGTCTAATAATTCTATTCTTTCCAAGCATTACTGTTCGCCATGTTCTCCCTTTCCGCCCACTGCGGTCTCGTTGCACAACGACGCTTGGTGCCGTCGGCGGCGAGTACAAGAATGCTCGTCGAAGTCCAGCAGCAGAGCCCATCTTGGTCGCCATTGGCATCCTCATCCCACCCACAGGACCAGCAAGTTCGCTTTCGTAGCAATCGATCGCGCCGAGGATTGTACGATGGAAAAGACATTCGTTCGGGAAACACGCTTTCGTTCAGTATGAAGGCCAACAAGCGCAAGTTCAAACCCAACGTGATCAAAAAGCGCGTCTACAGTGAAATTTTGGACGAAATGATCCCCTTTCATGTGACGACGGCAGCCTTGCGATCCATTGACAAGGCCGGTGGACTGGACAATTATCTCTTGAAAAGCAAACATGTGACGGAAGGTGAGGGATTGGCGGCCAAAAAGAGGGTCAAGAATGCCATCAAATTTGCAGAAAAACGAGCCAGGAGAGATGCAGAGCAAAACAACAATACCAGTACCAGCACCACTGCTCAAGAACAAGACGTGAGTCTCTCCTAGCTACCTAGCTACCAGGCAACAGAGTGGTGAAATAAGGAAATGAACGAGTTGGGCAACAAACTGTCTTCAGAGAGTGATTTGAAGCTGTTCATTCTATTTTCTTGCAGATGGATTGGCACTCGCCGCAAAACAGCGGCACCAATTACATGTAGGTACGGTAACGTCAATCTTGGATGTAAATAACAGATCAGAAGTTCCTCTTATAAAAGCGTACTGTATTACAAATTCGAGGGTATCATTCTGTGTGGAGGATTTTATGGTCTCGATCTGGTGGGCCTTGCCTCTAGTAGAGTGACAGTTGTGTCGTACCGGGCGATGGACTGCAACAAACAAAGCATACAAGAAGAGGCTCCTTTACAGTCGCTGTACTTTCCGTCATCTATACGCTTTGGAGTGGCCAAACGTAATGAATCAATCGATTGAACTGACATCACACCTGTCGAAGAGGACACAGCAATGGCCAGGAGGGCCTCGTAAAGCATTTTGGATTACGAACGAGTACCAAGGCCAAAGTTGGGGCAGACAAGGCAGAATTGGGGACTGGGCTCTCGGTGGGACAGCCAACTTCTAGCAACAGGCCAGCGACAGGTTCAGCTCCAGCGAGCTAGCTCTGGTAGAGAGCCGACACATTCACTCTAAAAACAGATACAGGCAGGGCAAGAGCATTCCACCTGAAAGGGATCTGGAGCACAGTCCACTCGGATTTCCTCCAAGAAAGGGAAACCACACAGATCCATGGGAATGCTGCCAGACAACTGGTTGCTGTGCAACCGCAACCGTTCCAATGATGTCAGTAATCCCAGCTCGGATGAACACTGCTGGACAGCTCATTGCCTTCCAACTTCAACTGTTCCAACTTTGTGAGGAACCAATTTCCGAGGGAATGCTGCCTGACAACAACTTTAACTGTTCCAATGCAGCAAGGAGGCCAATCTCGGAAGGAATACTACCCAATAAATGGTTGCCCCTCAACCGCAACAGCCGCAAGAATGGAAGTAATCCAAGCTCCGATGGAAGGCTCCCAGAAAGTTGGTTGCCAGAAACACTCAAGCCAGCCAAATTAAAGAGAAGTCCAATCTCCGTGGGAAGTTTCCCGGATAGCTGGTTGTCATACAAATACAAGCCTTCCAGAGCTGACATCATGCCAATCTCTGAAGGTATGCTTTCAGACAACCGGTTGCCAAACAAAATCAAGTCTTCCAAAGCTCAAATCCCTCAAGGCTGTCAACATCCCAGTTTCTGAAGGGACACTGCCTGATAGATCATTGAATCTCAAGTCCAACTTCGTCAAAGCAGTGAGCATCCCAATTTCTGAAGGGATACTGCCTGATAGATCATTGAAGTCCAAGTGCAAGTCTATCAAAGCAGTGAGCCTCCCAATTTCTGAGGGAATACTGCCAGACAACAACTGCCTGCGATTATTATAGAAGTTCATGGAGGTCAAAGCAGTCATCAATCCAATTTCTGAGGGAAGAATGCCTGATAAAAAGTTCTGTTCCATGTCCAACTCCATCAAAGCAGTGAGCATCCCAATTTCAGAAGGGACACTGCCTAATAGATCATTCAATGAGAAGTCCGACATCATCAAAGCTGTGGGCATCCCAATTTCTGAGGGAAGAATGCCTGATAGCTCATTGAAGTCCAAGTCCAAGTTTTTCAAAGCTGTCATCAAACCAAGCTCCGTAGGAAGACTGCCTTATAGCGTGCTGTTGTTGTCAACCCTGGAGTACAAGTTTAAGTCGGTCAGCACAATGAGGGATCCGATCTCTGAGGGAATATTGCCAGACAAGTGGTTGCCATGGAGGTTCATGGAGGTCAAAGCCGTCATCGAACCTATCTCTGTTGGAAATCGAATGGACTGGTCAGTCGATTCGATTCGATTCGATTCGATTCGACTCGACTCGAGCTCATTTTCCCGGAGCATTGGATCTTTTGAAAGATCTTCAAGCGTCTCCTCCCTTGCACCTTTCCTTATCTCCAATCTCCCTTCTTATTAGTCCGATTGCATAGTGGCAGAGCTCAGCAAGCTGGACAGTTCGCTACCGGTATAGTTGTCTACGATTGAATTTATTAAGCAACCCAGGTAGTAGAGAATTGGAACAATCATCAATAGGTGCGTCAGCTCGAAAGCTCAGAGTTCAGCCCTACCGCAGACATGAAATCTTCTGTAGGAATCCGTTTCCTTGTGGCAGCCGCCTTTCTGGTATGTGTCCAAGGAGCCCCTTTTCTTCCTTCTAGTCGATCTGCCACCATGCTTCTTACTGCAAAGGTTCGAGGAGGAGGTTTCTTTGGTGGCGGCAAGGCAAGTCCGTCTCCATCGTCCAATTTCGTTGATTCTATGGTGTCAGGAATGGGAGAGAAGGTGAGTGCCCACGAAAGGTGACGACTTATTGCTAGCTAGCAGTACTAAAGTGAAATGTTACAAGGTGGCTCATTGTGATTGCTCCCCCATTACAATCAGTTTCAAGAAACCCTGGAAACAGGAGTCCCCACACAGATTACGTATGGTTTTATTGCCGGATATTGTTCCGGTATGGCAATGAAACGAGTAGGTCAGGCAGCTGCCACTGTCCTCGGTATCGGATTTGTAACACTGCAAACACTCAACTATTACGGATATATTGAGATTTCTCACGACAAGTTCAAGAGTACCGTAGAAAATGCCTTGGACCTGAACAAGGACGGAAAGGTGGACAAGAGTGATATTCAGCGATCATTCGACAAATTGATGGGGGTTCTAAGTTACAATGTTCCATCGGGAGGAGGTTTTGTGGCAGGATTCCTTGGAGGAGTCCGGTCGTAGCATCCCTCACCATACCGTGTATAGAAAGCTTCAAGAAGAACTACGACTAGCTAGCTAGCTAGATAGATACTTATTTGTGATACATTTTGCAACAAAACACAGAGCCTGAGTTTTGGTAACTAACATACGTAACGCAAGTGCCAGCGAAGTGAGGGTTGGTTGATCTGCCGAGGTTGCACTATGATTAGGTGGAGTTACTCTGGTTGTCTTATGCAGAAAGGTACAAGAGCACAAGTGACACTGCGACAACTTCGCATTGTACCTGTTCTATGGACTCAAACACTTTTTTGAACTCGGCTCGAAGCACCGGACGAATGGCAAGTGCAGGTACTAGGTTAGAAGTATGTGCTCTTGGCCTTGGAGCTCTTGGCATCCTTTTCATCTCGCCGATGGATTCGAAGAACGCCATAGCTGGATCCTGAAGAACGTGAGGACTGGGCATCACTGTCACAATCTAGGTCCAGACCCAACGCATCTCTCTGAGATGCAGTAAGATAATCTTCATTGAACTGAGACACATTTCGCTGCGTCCCGATGAACTGACTGGCTTGAGGATTGGTAAATCGTGAGGTTGCGTTTGGATTCGAGCTAGTCCGACTCCTGTTACCAGCGATCAAATTGGCTTGTGTTCGACCGTTTTGTGCTTTTTGGTTTCGTAACCACCATTTGGGAAGAAACACGGGCACTAGGATTGAGAGCGAGAAGAAGGAGACAGCCACGGAAGCAAAGACATAAAAGGACGTGGGTTCGGTCCTCAATGCAAAGAGCACCGGCGTGCTCAAAACGACTGTCTCCATCAAGCTTGCCATGCTGATCGTAAGGTAGTGAGTCTCTGAAAAGTCCAAGGGCAAGCCTCGAGCTTTATAGCACTGCACTGCAGCCATTAAAACGCCCGCCGTATTGGCCATCATAATGGGAACCAAAAACATCCAGATAAGATTGCTCGATGCTCCGCAGGTCCCATAGGACGCGACTGACCTGCCGAAAGCATCTTGATCATTGAGTTGGATTCTTTGAAATTCAAATGGCGCAACAAACATCACCCCCAGCAGCATGCACACGTTGATTGTCAAAAGAGTAAAAAACGGCCGAAGCACATCTCCGGCATTGACTTGGATTCTCCGAATTGCTTTGCCAGAATTGATCAGCTTGTTCAATCGCCAACACTTTGCAAGGATGGCAGAAAAGGCGGTCACAAATCCCAAGCAGAGTAGCCACACCACTACGTTGCAAGCTGCATTGTACTTGAATCGGTTGGTGTTTTCGTCTTCCCCACCTGGAGCAAATGACGCGGGGAACACGGCAGAAGTCATAATCAAGCAACCCAAGCATAATTGCATCAAGAACGGCGGCTGAGCAGCCTTGATTACAAAGACATTTCGTTTCTGCCACGTCCAAGCAGTAAGGACCAAACAAAACACCATCACTGCAGACCCCAAGAAAAAACTCAGGCCTCGAGCCCACGGTTGGAGGTAGTTATAGTCGTGTTCCACAGGGGGCAAAGACGCCGGAACAGTTGTCGTCAACTGGTTCACACCGTTGGGAAATTGAAATGGAGCGATGTGTGTAACATTGGAACCCGCAACAATGCTAGTCATTCTGCTGTCGAAATGATAGTGCAATGCATCTGATCGATCTTCACTCAACCATAGATTGTCGATTCTGTACTGCACTCCTTCAAAATTACGGTTTCCGTAAGAGTCAAATGACACATTTCCCGTCACTCCCTCAAAATCCAGCGTCACGAGTTGCTCGTAGAGTTCTCGGCCGGAAAACAAGCCGGGTGTGCGGCACGCCGCCAAACCCAATGTAATGACAGCATCAAAGTAGAGGTACTGGTTCAAGGTTGCTGCGTAGGGCGGAAAGACGTAACCTTCGAATTCTTCTGGATGGGCATGGCTGTCAATGAATTGTTGTTGCAGGGCTGTGTAGTTGTTCGTAAGATGGCTGGTGTTTTGATTCATACTAGTGTGGTTGCCATGGTGGAAGTTGGCAAACTCCATCAAGGCAACGGCGAGTTCCTCTCGTGGTTCCCCATGAACATTGACCAAACCAATCCCCGAAAGGCCATGGGCCACGCTACCGGTACTGTCAGTTGCCTTGTCGATGTGAGCGCTCAATAATGAAAATTTCTCCGATAGAAACCAAGCATAGCCCGGAACACCAAGGACTCCCCCTTCGTAGGCGACCCGAATCAAGTCTCGCCATTCCACGATAGTGGCAAAGACGTAGCGCATTTGAGAGTCTTTCAAAAGATTGACCACGGAACTTTCGTGCCCCGGGTTATAAGGGATTCCAACGAGCCGCACTCCGGAAGCATCCGAATATTTTTGAAGCGATTGATGAAACCGGGTACCGTAGGAATCTCGAGCATAGACATTGGCTACATGGGTGACATTGAGCGACTGCATGTAGTGGACAAACGCTTCTGCCATGGCATCATCCTTGGGGACGGTTCTTGCAAAGAGCGGTAGAACATCCAGGTCCGCAGATGTAGCCGAACCTGACACTTGTGGAATTTCTAGAGCGTTCCCCAAAGAGCCAACGTAGGAAGAGACGCGCGAGCTAAACGCTCCCACCATGGCAAAGGGATGGAGAAAAGTAAAAGGACTGCCACTGGTGGAGACTTTGGTCTCATTGTTTGCCAAGAACCGCTGCAGGAATCGAGTAGATTGTTCCTTATTATTGTTGTTTGCGCCGCTGTTGCCTCTGTCCATGTCCCAGTACATGTATTGTTCCTCTGTCAGCGGTCGATCAGAGTCCCTTGGGGGCAGGGTCCTGGGAGGATCCGTTCTTCGCGGCGGACGTGTATGAGTAGGCTCTTCATCTGTGTTTGCTTGGGGGGAGGCTGTAACATCGGGGGGTGTCACGGCGGGATCAGGAGGTGGAGGTTCCGAAGCGAAGTTTGAGGGAGCCGAGGAAGGAAGTCCAGATGGACGTTGCGATGGGGACAACGACGGTTGTGCTGTGGGTTGCTGAGATGGCGACTTGCTGGGTAGATTAGTACTAGTTGTGTCAGTAGTGTTCGCAACCAGGACATCACCGAGGGAACCATGGGTAGCATTCTCAACTGGCAATGGTGATGGGTTGTGCGGTCGACTGGTATCTTCCAAGATTGCCTGACCCATTGCCAATTCCTCTTTTGTTTCTATTTCGGTAGCCAACATTAACTGCCGAACAGCTTCCAGAGGTTCAAACCTCGTGTCTCTTGCCTCGTATTCCCAGTGAAAGTCGCAGCCTTCGAGAAGATCTGGCAAATGCGGGACTATTCTGCCACTGCGGGTCTCCAACTCTCTCCAGGCCAAAAAGGCACTGGCGGTGGTATATACCTCTCGTATCCCATCCTCGCCGTTGAATCCCCGGAGGCCCAGGAGTGTCAAGATCTTTCCCCAACGCTTGCTCCCATCTTCGCTATACTTCACATAGGACTCCCATTCGGAGGATGACATTATGCTGTGTTACTCAGCCTCAGTGTAATGGAGTGCTATTCGATGCAAACGATCTCCTCTGTGTGTGTGCTGTGGAGTGGGTGCTATTAGATAGATTAATGGTGAGGGTCCTTGTTTTGGAGTGGGCTTGCCATTAGTGGAGTGAGCAGGCGGAGATCAGAGCTCGTTGCACGGTTCACCAGAACCTCAGAAGCTACCTAAGAATACGAGCGGTGCCACCGGCTTCGGCTGAAAAGTTCATGAGTGAAGCCCATCCTATTTATTTCCACCCATTTCTAGCTGGATCAAGAACTGATCTACAGTGGTCGGATCGCCGTACATCGTACCTTCAGTACCAGCTTACAGTACCACGTACGAGCAGCACAACTGAACTCGAGTACCGGTACTGTCGCCAGCACGCCAGCGCTAAAGCGCTTCTGAAATTGAGTTCTGAAGGGGATCTTTGGTTTTAACTACCCTGCATGTTCGAAGAATTAGAACGTGGGAGCATAATTCGTTGAACCAGCGTGCAAAACAATCTCCGAAAAAAGATTTATTCACTTTATTAATAATAGATTTCGAAAGAACGAGTTAGAGTTCTTCAACTGTTCTTCTTAGAGCGCTGCGACATCGACAGCTCATCGACGCCTGCTGTGTTTACAGCTGTGCTGTTTACAGTATCGGCACCAGGTACGGTAGGTACCACTGCCAGCGTGCGTAGCAGCAGTCACAGCAGTCAGCAGTCTCCCTCTAGAATCTTAATACTTCTAGTAGTAAGCGCTTTGATCTCTTACATGACATTGAATCACCTCTGCGTCTGATCCTCTGATCTCTTACTAGCTAGCTAGCTAGCTAGCTAGCTAGCTAGCTAGTACCAGATTCTTCTCTGATCTCTGATCAACAAGTTTACAGTGGTTCTGGAATAGCCTGGCACGCGTTTGGGTCGAGAATAGACTAGCTACCAGGTACCGATACTGGTACCGGTAGCTAACTCTCTTCCTTTTTCAATGAAAAATAACAATATTATTATAAATACCTGTATTGCTGCGATTTGTGAAGAGGTAGTAAGGGGGGTTTTAGAGTAGGGAAATTATCTACGGAAGCCAGCCGGGGCCAGGCTTAAGCAAAGAACAGTCGAAATTCAGGACTAGGTTCTGTGGGATCAGGGGCAAGAAATTGAGGACCATTACGGGGGGCAAATGGTTTGGCTTTGCGGGATCCACGGAGACATAAATGGGTAGCTTTCACAAGGGCAACCGAGATACGGGTCTGCATGAAGAACATCATTTGAGAGTAGGAAAATTGAGTTTTGGAGGCAGTAGCAGAAGCAAGGTGTTGTAAGAGAGTCTTGGCTTGAGGGGCAAGCATGCCATCCACTGAAACAACAAAGGGGTGGAAGGAAGCACGATTGGCGTCGCACGCTTCTTTATATTTGGAAATTTTGTCGCGTTCTTGTTGGGTTAAAACTTTGACGGGATCTTTGTTGAGGTAAGAGGCACAGTCCAAATCAGTGACACGTACCGTCAATAATAGCTGTGAAGAGGTTGTTGTGTTATTGTGGTTTGTTGGGTACTGCTTCTAGAAACCATGAAAGGCTTTGCGGATGATTTCAATGCCTTTTGGTTTGCACAGAATGTGGCTCGTGGTGGATCACAGGATGAAGCAAAGGTAGAGCCACAGCCGTTGCTCTTGATTGGGGCCGGCTTGGCTCGAACGGGAACGGCAAGTTTCCAAAAGGCCATGACGATGTTGGGGTTGAACTGCTATCATATGTTAGTGGCTCACGGAACCAGAGGCCACTTGGACATGTGGCGTCGGTACTTGTTGGATGGCGATAATGATGGCGATGTTGTTGTTACCCTTGAGGATATTGTCCAAGAATTGGCCGCTTTGGGTGTCAATGCAACGGTCGATGCACCCACCAATTTTGACTACCAGAAACTGATGCAACTATATCCACAAGCCAAGGTCATCTTGACTATTCGAAGTGAAGAGAATGCCACCGTGGCGGCTGAAAAATGGGCCGACAGCATGACCAGCAGCGTTCTTCGGGTTCTTCCCATCGCCTCGGATATTCCATGGCGCTGGTTTCCCGTGGCCAGACGTTTGGCGGAATTTGATGTTGCCTTATACAAGCATGCGAAGCTTCCTCAGCACAAACAAGATCGTCACTTGCTGGCAGATTATTATAGAGAGTGGAATGAGCAAGTCGTCCGGAATGTGCCAGCAGATAATTTGCTTGTGTTTAGGGCAACAGATGGATGGGATCCATTGTGTGACTGTCTATCATCTGTATCCGACATTATTCGCACCAATTGCGATGCATTGATTGCCTCCGATGAGCCGTATCCTCATGTCCATGACTCGGCCAAACTAAAGTCGGTGATTGCCGTGTTTGTAGTCATTTCCATCCTATTCAAGGCCATGCTTGTCGTCGTGCCGATTGTAGCATCAGCGCGACTGCTGATACGGATCAGATCCAAAGCCAATGACAGCAAAGACAAGTCAGAATAGCTGTCAGAATAGAATAGAGTAGATGCACTTCATGGAAATCCCAAAGTGCCTTAGAGGAATGAAGGAAAATGGTGACATCTTTTCCACAGTCAATCTACATGTACCGGTACAAACCAAAGACATTTCGACAAAGATGGGTATACGTGTTCAAGGAGTGCTACAGCTAATGTATACTGTTACGTGATGTGTATGTTCACCCTTGGACCGGAAGAGGTTCCGTAGCTGTCTCTTCATTCTTGGACAGTACTTCTTTAGCAGCAGCTGCTGTCAATTCCTTCAAAGCCTCTTCATCCAGTTCTTCACTCGGAGCTGCTGTTTCTTCACTAGTAAAGACATCTTCCTGTTGTTGCAACAAGCCAGCTTTGATTTCTTCCATCACTGGTGCATCACCAAACCACATGCTGGCAAATGCCCGTTGAAACTCTGTACCCTCAATCTCTCCCACATGTTCCCCTTGATTGGTCAATACCATTTTATCTGGGGAAAAGTGGAATCGGATGACTCCCTTTCCGCCATGGGTCCATCCCCGAGCAGTTCTAGAAACTTGGCGCGGTCGTCCGCGTATCCCTCATAGTCACTGTCCGTGACACTAGTGTCCAACTGGTAATTCCAGGCAATGCTCATTTGCGTGGGTGTAATGTCACGCAAAAAAGTGAATTCCATGACAAAGACTGAATCGTTCGCCAAGAGCAAGTCTTGCACGTCTTGTTCGGAACGAATGGGAACTTTCGTGTACATTGCCACCACATAGACATGCAAATTGTAGCCAAAAGGAGCTCGAACGGTTCGCACACCGTGCCCGTTACGGTACAGGGGTTTGTCATCGTCATTACTTGTCGCCACGGTGGTGTAGGGATTCAGCTCCACTCCTTGAACGGTGATTGGCTGGGGCAGTTCGTTCCAGGTGCCCGTGACATCGGGCGGCACATCCGATGATGTGCTGGCAACCTCCTCTTGCGCAGTTTCCACGATGTCCTCTCCTTCTTCTGCTTCTTCCATGAGCAGGGTGGCTTCTTCGTGCAACGTGGTCAGTATGGTCGGTACCGACACGGACACCAATGATTCGTAGAGCGCTGTGAAGGACATGATATCGGATAGGGACAAGAAAAGGCGTCGATTCTGGTGGTGCGATCTGATACGTATCGATACCGAATTGGCAAGCGTCGATTTCTGAGAGGCAATGTAAGCTGACAAAGATTGTTGTGGTTTCTGTTGAAGGAATGGAGACCGTTCCAAGAGGGAGATGAAAAATGGGGTGTGAATGGCTACAGCAGGTCCCACTGCACGATTTAATAATCGCCACATGTTGGGTTTATGACAGCTTCGTTTGTTTGTTTATGGGGTCAGACTGACGATGTTTTGATTCTTACTCAACAACTCATCATCCCCATCATGGTGTTGGTTTCGCTTGTGTTCTTTGCAAACAGATGCGTGGTGGCCACATCATTGGAGGCAAAAGCATTCTTTAGAAACGGCCAGCAGAGCTGTAAAACACGGCTTCTTTGTTGTAAAAATCAATCTGTCTGGCCTTTTCCCGGGTTCTTTTCTTTCGCAAAAGCTGGAAAGATCTGATCTTGGTTTGGACTCCCACACTTTCTGTCGATTTCTTGTTGTTGCTGCCGCCATAATATCCATTCCATCCTTCTGTTGACACAAACACAAGGAGATTGACCATGACGATGCTGACCGAGCCAATCCACACTCACCAAACCACTTCTGCTGATGTTGCTGTTGTGAACTACAAGGAGACTCTGATTCGCGGCCATGTGTCCGACAATAATCAAGCCGTCTGCAGCGACGCGTCATTGGCGGCACTAAATGCCTCGCTTCGCAAGGTTGGCAAGGTCACGTTGTGGGTCGATCGCGACCGTGGTTGTCTCTTGGTGGGACATCCCTCGGTGGAAGATGCCGTCATGTTTTCGCGTGCCATGAACTGGCACGTCTTTCCCCACCAAGGTGCCTATTGCATGGGACGCGACATGGATTCGGTCGTTCAGAACCTCGATTGGAAATACCGTTATCCCGATTCATTCTACCACTTGCTCATGTATGTGGCGGTCGGTAAGGTGTTTTACGATGATGTTCAATCGCACAAATGGCAAGTGGCGGAATGTATGAAGCTCCGCGTGGGACAGTTTGAGGAGGGATATGGACGAGAGACCTTTGTGGCATGGATGCGCCGTCAGATGGAACGACTCGAAACATACAGCAGCATTCCTGTAGATTCGGCTTTGTACTATGTCATGGATGACACGGAGTCTTCCACTTCCTTTGAGTCATCGTTGGGGATCACTCTCTGTGAGGACCAACTCCGAGGAAACAAGAACGCTGTTGTGGAGGAGGACAAGACACTCTTTGAGACATTCGAACGGTTTGCCATCAGTGACAGCTTTGAGTCCGCCGCGTCGGAAATAAGCGTTTCGGCTTCTGTGTCTGATACAAATTCGGCTTCTTCGGCTTGTGCTTCACTTCCAGCCAACTTCTGAGGAACCAAAGCTGCGGAAGAAGCAAAAGTACTGACGATCTTGGACACTGGAACCAGCTTTCACTGAACCAGGAGCTGACAGAAGTGACCAGATTAGGGGCAGAAATGACAGGGAAAAGAACGAAACTGAGCCACGCCAATTTATAAGGAGAATGCTGAACAGATATTCCAGTACAGTTGGCGGCATCCATCCACAACTTGATATTATACATAGTAACCTAACCAAAAACCGGAACACGGCCGATACGTGGAGTTAACTTACATAGCAATGGCACGGTGATAGACATAGGCTGGAACAAGGTATGTAGAGTAACAAAATAGCCCGCACTATCTGGCTGTTCCAACAGCCAAGTATGCCAGTATGGGACTACAGCAGCCGAGCAGGTTGCCGCCATTGCCGCGCCGCACCCTACCGTCCACTTTGCGTCGCCATGACTACCGTTACCGGTACATGTAGCAAGATGGTAACATTCGAAACTTGGTACCGAATAGTAAGGAGCTCTGCGTGGGTAGCATACGGTATCGGTTCGTCTACGGTACCCAGCCAGGTTGGGATGATTGGATAGAGGAACCGTCGTGGTCGACCGGAACATTGAAAAACGAGCTTTTTGGAGAGTGGCCCATTGCGCCATGCCCCGGAAGCGCCCCTGGTGTACCCGACCGTTCCGAGGTCCCTATAGATTGCGATTTGAGGATCCTCTCAAACTCCAAGAGGGTAGCTAGTGGCCGATGGCGGCAGGTTTAGCTAGATCCTGATCTCTTTGTGTTCGCAGCTATGATACTCTCTCTTGGCCACTACGCCACTACCCCACCGAGTGGTTCCTCCTCCCCTGCTGTAGCATCGAGTGGATCCTCTAGCAGGCACAGGGCCCCCTATCTACGTGTCCAGACGGTACTTTTTTGTAATCGATATAGCTACATGTACGTATTGCTTCCAAACTCATAAAACTCTCAACCGGTCAGCCATGAGACTTTTTTTGCTCTACTGCTCTATCTGAAGCTCGCGTCAAATGCTGAACTTCTGCTGCCTTCTCAGTTCATCTTTCATGCTTTCAAAATCAATACAAACACAAAGCCAAACCTCCATCAATGACAGCGATGCCCTATGATGAAGTGGCTGGACCACTCAGCTATCTAGACAAGCTGGCTCCGTCAATCGTTCCATTCATCAAGGGGCCCTCCTACCGATACAGCAAACAGCAACTTTCCATCCTGTAAAACTTTCGGTTTTCCCATTCTCCCGTTAGTTAAATCTCAGTCACCTGCCCTTCACCGAGCGGTGTACATACATACATGTACCACCGTTCCGAGTTTTGCCGAACAGCTGGCAAGGTCAAAAGTCACAAGTTCAATGCAGTCGTCATCATTATTTGCAGTTCACTTCCAGCGAGGGTGCAAAAGTTGCGGCAACGCGGTAAGGCGACCACTCTCTCTCGTGCTTTGGGTTGAGCTGTCCAGCAGCACAGCAGCACATATACCTTTTCGCGTCATCCCATATCACCATGAAGCAATCAATCGAGCAACAGGAGGACTTAGTCAAAGGCAATGATCCTGTGGAAGTTCCAGATGATGATGCCATGGACCAACAGGTGCCAGCTTTGCTTCCCGTTCCTCGGGTTGTCGTCCCCAATGATTGCGCACAGTCAGCTGTGTCCTCCATCTCTAATGGGATGCCGGCAGCTTCCATGTATCCAACTTTCCGTGATGTAGATCAAGGGGAGGCTCCTTCTTCCATTAATATGGCCAATGATCGTGCCTTCGAGAGTCAACCAGAAAGCACATCAAGCCTTCACGAACACCAACAGCAAACTCCGCCACTACCCACAATGGAAGACCGAGTGCTGGCCAAGGTGAACGAAGAGTCAGTTGCTTCCGAGAACATTCCTAAAAAAACCAGTCAGCAGAAGCAGAAAGAATCAGACGATTTGAAAATGCCCGCAGGGTCGGAAGCAAGGGGTAAAGAGTGTGAGTCAAAACAAGAGGAAGTAATTCGAAAAGCAGAAGTCATGGCATCCTTGGAGGCAGTCACGGTGATGGTTTCAGCAAGGGAGGAGCCAGGGGCGTATGCAGAGGCAGGTTTTATGAACAGGTCCGAAATTGTACACCGAAGAGGACAAGCTGGTCCAGAAGAAGAAGAAGAGAATACGACAGTGATCTCCATGAATAGCTTGGGAAATGAAAACAATCCAGGCCAACAGCAAGCAACAGGATTGGCAAGGGCTTCCTTGGTGCCTGAAAAATCGGATCTACAAGTGGCGCAGAGAGTGGATGCTGATGATCCAAGCAGCAGAAATGCCAATAAAATTCAAGGAAGGAAAACAGGCTTGTTTCCCCTTCTCTCCTGCTTGTTGATTCTAATCATAGTGATCGTGGTCCCAGTATCAATTATCCTGACCACTGATGACACAAGTGAAGTGGCACATGACAGGGAATCTCTGAGGAGTGAGATGGAAGCACGGATCACACTAGCCCTTGGAAAAGTCACATCCCTCAACCTCGACGACGATGATGGCCCTTATTCGAAGGCGTTGGATTGGGTTCTCCACGAGGACCCCTTCCAACTTCTTCCCGACTCTGAAAACCTAGTGCAACGATTCATTCTGGTCCTCTTCTACTTTCAAACATCCGAGAAGTATGGACTTTGGAAGACTTGTAATCCGAAAAGTCGGCTCCTCCAAGTACTCAACGAAACCATCACAACGGATATTTGCTATTTTCGCCAGGTGTACAAAATGACAACTGTGTCTAATGAAGTACTGGAGATTCTGTCATATCAATGGCTTACCGGTCGACACGAATGTGATTGGGCAGGAATTCGATGCAATCGCACCAGCAAGATCGTCACCGAATTGCACCTATGTGAGTTAGTTGCCCACGTTTGCCATGTCAATTGTCAACGTTTGCCTTTTCTAACTTGTTGTGTTTCATTGTCTTCTCCACTTGGTTCATTTGGTTGCTTTACAGATGACTTCAACCTGACTGGAACAGTCCCAACAGAGCTTGTGAAGCTAGATGGTCTGCAAGTTTTAGCATTTCCCAGAAACTCGCTCACCGGAACCCCGCCATCCGAACTGGGTCTCATGCAGAACTTGCAAGAGATAACCTTGGAGTCCAATCAACTGTCAGGAATCCCAATTCCTGACGAGTGGTTCCGTCTTTCTAACCTCAACCGTCTGCAGCTAGGAGACCATCGTCTAGGAGGGAATCACTTCTCACCCACGCCTCTATCTTCCCGGATTGGCCAGCTGACCAAGCTGCATTATCTGGATCTGTCATTTGCGGACACGACCGGAACGATGCCTTCAGAACTATTCCGGTTGACAGAACTGAGTAAGTTCAGTTTTGGTTGGTTGGTTGGTTGGTCGGCGTGGGGGGGACCAAGCTTGCTGCTTACCAATGTGAACGCTACTTGAATTGTATTGCCTTAGATGATCTCATCTTCTGGAGGAATAACCGCATGACCGGAACACTCCCCACCGAGTTGGGGTTGCTGTCCAAGCTCGAGTTTTTCTCAGTGGTTCGTAACTTTGCATACATGTTTGAATGATTGTTGGAGAGTTGCAGGGACACTCACTTCTTTGCTACCATGAAATGTTTGGTGTGGGGACACCAGAGAGACTCGTTGATGGAAGGAACTCTGCCAACTGAGATTGGATTGATGGCAGAGCTGCGTGAACTTGACGTATCAGGTGCTCTTTTCACGGGGTCACTTCCCATTGAATTCTACACTTCCTTGGAACGGTTGTGGGCGGTCATATTTGTTACAAATGAGCTATCGGGGACCATCAGCAGCTACATTGGTGATATGCCCAAGCTGGAGTACCTGTTGGGCCAGCGGAACTTTCTGAGCGGTACATTGCCCACAGAAATGGGCCGCTTGTCTCGGGCAAACCGGATCGGTCTCAATCTGAATCGTTTCACAGGCACTGTCCCCTCTGAGCTATGTGCTCTCCGAGGCAGCACAAGGCTCAAGCGGCTCAAGGTTGACTGCCTCCCATCTTCTTCCACTGGTGAGATTCCTATCGTTTGCCCAGTTGGCTGTTGTACCAAATGCTGCGATCGAGATACGGGAACATGTCAACAGGTCGAAGAGTATTAGTTTGAACTGATGTGCACGTGTGATGGGATGCCATTGGGTGATGTGCTGGTATGAAGGATGAATGGATGGATGGTGCACATGTAGGGAATGGGATGTGTACTGCAAGAGGGTACTTGCTGTGACAATCTGTTCTAGTAATTCCAATTGAAACAATCCACACCAATCCTTTGAGCCAATGAATTAGAATATGGTAGCGCAGCTACCAGGTAACATCTAGCCCCAACGAAAGTACGAAGTGGTCCCGAAAGCCCGAAGAATTGTGGTATGCTTTCATTTGCAAACCGGTAGTTTGGGTTTGTGAAACCAAATTCTGACCACTGTGGACAGCAAGAGCAACTGGCTCGATTAGCTCAGTAGGTTAGAGCGCACGCCTAATAAGCGTGAGGTCATGAGTTCGATCCTCATATTGAGTAGCATCTTCTTTTGTTGTATTGGGTTGTGCAATCTTTGGTTGGTCCAGACGTCCTTCCAGTTTATCCATTGCCATGGTCGTCCTTTTAGGCGACGTTTCTTGGAGGGAGAAAGCAAACCGCACCTCCACTACACCTCCGTGTTTTTTTAGAACTCTAATCGAGGGTTTTCATGATTTCAATATGAGGCGCGAACTGATACCCTGAGGACCGATATCGTTTTAGTTCGATCCTCATACTAGTAGTGAGACGCATCATCTTTTGTAATACAAACTGCGTTGTAGAAAAGAAGGACAGCCGGAGCCGCGTTCTAGGTAGCTAACCGAGCAGCAATATGTGAATCTCTGTGCATAGAAGAACTGAGCCATCTTAGTTTACCAAAGGTGGCTCGGTTTGCCGGGTTGGAATAGTAGTGAGTACTAGCTACGGGGCACACACTTATGCGATTCCAACTCGAGCACTCCTCCGACTTGGCGCTGTTTGTGAATGCTGGATCTAGTGCAGGATCCGTACGGTACGGTACCGTACGATTGCGGAGGTTTCCGTTTCGTGCAAACTCGTTTTCGTCCTTTGGAACGACAACCGCTGGCTCGGTTTCCCCTGAGAATGGAGATGGATTGCAGTGCACACCGACGCAACCCGCACAAACTTGCTTTGAATGGGACTTCGTGTGTGTGCAAACAGAAGCGCCCTTTTCCTGCATTCTATCATCGATAGCTACTTTACATCATCCGGAAAGTTCTTGAGTACCGTATTGTACCGTACCGAAACGACAAAAAGTCAATTGTGGATGATAGTCATTCATTAAAATAGTAATGGTTGGTTTTGTTGTTGTAGTTTGCGACGACACGCGCTTTCAAGTCAAGTCCCGATGGAAGCCCTCCGTGTTCCTTTGCGTTTTTGTTTGGGTGATGTTCCCGAGACGCTGCCACTGCTCTTTTTCTTCCCCGTGCTGGAGACTTGTAACTTTTTGGCTTTGGTTTTCTTTGCGGGTGCCGGTGCTGGCTTTGCCGCAAATGGATCGTCGTCAAAGTCTCCAAAGGCATCAACGGCGCCATCGGTGGTAAAGGAGGGTGTCGTGGAAGCAAATGGATTGTTGGCACTATCAAAGCTTTCAAATGCGGATTGATTGGTGACCAGAAAGCCATCGTCGTCAATCATGACTGGTTCCGCTTTTTGCTGAGGTTGTTTCTTCTTGCTGGCAGTAGCGACGCCCGAAGAGCTATTTCCATTGGGGGTAATGTCCCATCCCGATCCACTACTGTGCGGTGACGGTGCCTTTTTCTTGGTGGTTTTCTTTTTTGTCTTTTTGGTAGATGATTCCTTGGGAGTTGTAACGGCGCCATCCTTGGATTTCTTTTTCTTGGTGGGAGTGGCAGCGTCTGGTTTGGCTATTGCCTTTCCGTCGGTCGGTCTGGAAGCGTAGTTGCTGGCCGCTCTGGCTGGTTTCTTGAGTGCGGTATCAGCGGATGCCAAAGCTTTTTTCTTGGGTGCCACGACGGGTGCCTTTCTTGCATTGGTTTGTGCGACCTTACTGAGCAAGTCCTTCTTTTTGGGAGCATTGACCTTGATTCCAATTTCGTGGTAGTGTTCTTCCTCGTTGATTAACATACTACTCACAACCGTGGGTGTGGTCATGTCGGACATTACGGAAACTTCATCACTGTATCCATCTCCCACCATTGGATACTCTGCGTCTTCGTCAAAATCGTCGTACTCTTCATCGTCTTCTTCCTCCTCCTCTTCCTCTGCTTCGGCTGGTTGTTCATTGCGAGATTGTCGTCGTGTCGGCGGTTGCGGTGATTGATGTCGTTGTTGTTTGGGCGGTTGGGTCCGTTGTTGTTCCCCCTTTCTTCCGCTATTGTTGTCTCCCTTGGATCCCTTACTCTTACTCCCTCGTGATCTCGATTCTTGTTGCGCTTCCAATGCAGCAATGATTTGAGGAGCGTGGGCTTGGACTTCCGCCAACTTTTCAATCAAGGCTTCAATCTGATCGTCTTTCAAATCGTTCAGCTTGCTCACATCCGGTAGCGAAATGTCGCCTGCTGCACCCGCCATGTTCTTTTGGTGCATCTAATCTAACAATCTAACAACAACACAAAAACACACTTAACGTAAAGGAAGTGGATGTGTGATGGTGCACTTTTCTTGGGTTGGCGGAATGAATGAAAGGATGGATTGGACCGTGCTCGAATCGAATCAGAATAGATTGTTGTACGATATAGTTCTTGCAGATTGAATTCAGAGAGCTTCTTCTCCTCCTTGCCGAGAACTGCTGTGCAACACTTGAAAAGTCGGACGGCAACAGCGTCGTAGCGTGGTAGCGTGGTGGGTGATGTTGTATGGACAATCTTAGAAACACCTCCCACGCTCCGCGAAAAGCCTATTGCCTTCTGCTCTCCACCAACCTGGTCTAGCTGGCTACTTTTTCTTTGTTTGTGTCTGACTGCTCAATCGATAATGATGATGATGAGAGCAACCCAGAAACACGGAACTGTCCAAGCGAATACACGATGGACCAAAGTTAGTTAGTTTAGTTATCGGCTTGGTGGTCTGGGTTTGGTGAAGTGGTCTTGCCTTCGCTGCTGCTGTTGGTCGCTGCTCCAAGACAGACCTTTGCCCTTGCTTTTGCCCGTGTTGCCAGTGTGCCTTACGTGACGTCAGAAGATGTTTCGCACATAGAGCCGTGTTAGATCGTGGGGAGTCAATCCCACGAGCGTCTGTCATCTGTCATTCTCAAATGTATCATTAAGGCTAAGGTTGCTGACAACCAACAAAAGAGCCAGTGATGCCATCAAAGGAACGAGCGCAAGATATCAATTCATCAAGCCATCCACCACTGTCTCTTTATTTTAAACCACTGATAGTCTACTTCAGTAGGAGGTTTTCTTGTCGCCGTACCAATTCAAGAGAGGTGTAAAGTGTCCGGTCGCTCGTCTCAATGTCGGCAAGGCCAGCCAGGTGATGGCCCATGTCTGTGCGGTCCCCTTCAAGACTTTAGTAATACTATGCAGAAAGCAAAGGCTCGGGTCTCGCTACAGTAGCTATTCAATAGTTTGTGGTAGACGCAATGCAGGAGGGCAAAGTCGTCGGGTACGTAAGTGAGTAACGGTTGCCTAACATGGGATCCCAATCCCAGGCAGTGGCTCCGGAGAACTTGGACACATGGTTATACAACATATTAGCTCTATCTAATGGGCTAATGGGTCCCAGCGCTGTAGTCGATAATGTCCTTCAGCTCTGTGGCCGATGGTGAAGATGAAGCCCTCCCATAGCAGTAGGTTCCGCCCTGTTCCATTCCAAAACTACGGCACTAGCACTGCCTTCCATTGACGAGGCCTTGCTCCTTGCTGGAGCTCGATGCCATCATTGCCAATGAGATAATGGGTCTGCGGGACCGTAGGATGTTCTCCGAGCATGGCGCAGTATAACCTCTAGCTAGAGTGCCAGGGAGGAGGTGAGGGAGGAGGTGAGGTAGATACCGGTAGGTATGTTGACCTCTTGTGCCCGGAAGGTAGACTAGTCTATGTCACCCGCCACTCACCAAATTCTTAGATGCGCGCTCCGTTGAGAATCTATGCGTCAGTTATTCTCGACGGACGCTGCGAGACAAACACACGTTACTTAGGTCTAACTAACACTATTATTTAGAAGAGCCAAATTTTTAGTGTCCCCCCTCACTTTTCCAAAGCACCCTGCAAATTTCCAATAGCGTGACAAGTAGCTGTTTCATGGTGGTAAGGTACTATCGATGTATTAGGTGTCTGCCACCAGCAGAACGGTCGCCAAAACAAAACAAAGTCGCGCCTTCATAGCATCATTCATGCAGTGTTACATCGCCACAGTCCCCTGGACATATGTTGTTGTATGTAGTACAAGAAATCCGCAATGTTTGAGCTGTATGATTGCAGCTGCACATTTTCCTTCTCGGAACAGCAACAGTTCTTGGAGGATAACGACGACGACTACGACAAGAACAACGGTATCTCGCAAGAGGATCAGTATCCCAGTAGCCTCCAAGAATTGCTCCTCCTCGGAAACGAACCAGCCAATACCCTAAAATCAGAATCAAGAAGTCCAAGAACTTCCGAGTCAACCGATACCACTTGCAACATGGCTTCCTTTGAACGAAGTGACTCGGACAAGAGTCTGGGTGTTCATGCCTGCATTAGTGCAGATCAGAACGATAGCAAGGATAATTTGCCCGAGGAAGACCCACCCGAGCTACAAGGAGTCCGGTCATCCTCCAACACGCTGTCTCGTTTGCTCCGATCTTCCTCGATTACGTCTACCGAGTCTCCGCATTGCCCCATCTGCCTCGATCCCATGACACCCATTGATCACCAGCATCCCTTGCAGTGTCCCACACGACATTGTCACTACAACTTTTGCACGTCGTGTGTCCAATCCTTGCTCTCCAGTTCCAAAGATGACTTTGAAATGGCCAGTGATGGCAATGCTCATGTCAAGATTTATCTGCACTGTCCCAACTGCCGGGCGGACTTGAGTACCACCTTTCGAGATGTTCTCTTGTTGCGGAAAGTCGATATGGTACATTGGTTATTGGCACAACGCAGCAGCCAATACAGGGAACTGACACCCTCCCAACAACGCACTCAGGCTGCCATGCAGGAACTGCACGTCCAAGAAGCCATCCAGGCGGCTCGGGAAAAAGAGGTCATCTTTTGGAAGACGCATCATCGTGATAGTATGAGCTTTGGTAGTAACAGTCTCCTTCTGGACGATGAAGAGGACGACCTGAGTGAGCACAAACATGATGATACCACCGGTGAGCAGCTCTTACGGCAGTCCATGCATCGGTACGAATCCAGTCGTCGACTACGAGATGGATCGTTTTCCTATGAAGAATGGGGAGTGGAGGCAGATTTGGATAATGGCGTTCATTCGTCCTTTCGAGCACACAACACTCAAGGGGATGATAGTAAGACGCAGTCATCTTCCAAAAAGTATGACAACAGTGCAAGCAGCAAGCCGGCGTCCTTTCGCAAGCCCCTGGATGAAACTCTTTTGCAAGGATTGGAAAAGTGCATGACCCATGCCGAGCAACTCCAAGTGACGCACTGGATGACTTCGGGCAATCCGGATCTGTTGGCACAAGCGGCTCAAACCTTGCGAAAGATTGAAGAGGATGCCAGACACGGAGTCATGCCAGCGGACCGACAAAAGGTAATGAACCGAAGAGGCTCCGTCTTTGAAATAGTGGAAGAGACACGCCAATTGGAGGAAAACCCAAAACCACCACCAGGATCCCCACGCGCTAATAATGGTGGCAATGTCATGGACAGTTTTGCACGCCGCATGACTCCACGACAGCGACAACAGCTTCTGATGAAACAACAGCGGGCAGAACATGTCAAGTTGGAAATGGCCATGGCTGCGAGGGCGTCCATTTTGGAACGTTGTCCTCTCCCGGTTCGAATGCCCAAGGCCATGGTCCTGGAACTGAATCAAGATCCCGACGGAAGAAGATTCCCACTGCGATTCTGTAACGACAACTGGGATGGCACGGTCTTGGATGCCTACAGCAAACTTACTGTCAATGCCGTTGGGAGGCGTGCCTTGGCATCGTCGCCAACCGGAAGCCCTTGGACCGTGACCAAAAAAGCTCAAACGTCGCATGAGGGTGTGTTCCATGTGTTGAGCCAGGGACAGTATCAGCGACATTACGGTGAAGTGCAACTGACCAAGTATGGAGAAACACCACCGAGGGTGTTGGTCGCGTCGGTCCAAGGCACGGCTGGAAGGCAGGGTGTCATGAAGGGAGACGTCGTCACTCACATTGATGGGGTCGCGCTGGACAATGATGAACGGTCTGTCGAATCACTCGTGGCATTGCTGCGGGCGAAGCGACAGGACGGCCAAGAAACCGTCCAGGTTGTGTTGAATGGTGAGGCTTCCATTGCCGAAGCTTTGAGCCGACGTGCGGTCGTCATGGAGGAATTCCTGAACGATTGAAGGATTGGTTAAACATCCAAAGAAACAAAGCCAACAATGAAGGACCGAATGAATCACTAGCTAGTGTACGGTAGCGCTGCATAATTCCATAACTGCTTCCATTACTAAAACTTGCTCTAGTTTTGTCGCATCGTCTTCCCACCCACATCACAAAACCTATCCCGATACGTGAACCTACATCATGATCAACAGTGGATCTGTGCATACGAGTAGCCTGAACAGACCAGGAGAGTTTTTCTCGGCATGCCCGGGCCAAATGCTGGTCCTCTACTAGAGGCCTTCTCGGGGCCTAGTTCTGGTCCCAGGCCTCGGGTTGTGGATAAGGGTTTTTGCATGATTGGACTTAAAACTGGAATGCAAACCTGCTTGTCTAATTTCGTTTCCTTTCGCGGCTTCGTTCAACCGCAGTCTGAGCAACTAAGTTAACGTTATTAAACGAGATAATTTTTTATCGTGTGGCTCCTACTAGGTTTTCCATTCCGTAGGGGGTCTCACCTTGACCAAAGCTTGCCAATTGCTTCGTGATACTAGTTCACACGGTTGAGTGAGGCATTCCAACTCACAGCAGGCTGCGGAACTGGATCATTTGACTTCTTGTAGTTGTCATTAGACTAGTAGAATTGGGCCCAGCCACACCACTGTCTTTTCGTTCGTTCGTTCGATTCATCCAACTTTTAGCGGTACCAGCCAGTCCTAGTTGTAGGGGCGCTGGAGATATCGTCAAGCCAATTCTAAATTTCAAGCTCACAGGTTGATTCGATCATCAAATCCCAAGAACCCGAATGCGATTTTTTATCCAACCAGCGAAAATGTCGCTGGGGTGGAATGTTCTCTCTATACATGTCCGCGTGGATTGTCGCCTTGGGTGGCTTTCTTTGTGTTACTATAATCATACTGTACTGTATCCGCCATTTCGTGTCCCCGCCTTCTTTCACAGTCGAAACGACCGTTCATTCTTGTATCGAACCGTGAGAAATCGACGTATGCGATCCAACATGCCCTCCAATGCCGCTTCCGGAGTGGGTTGTAGATAAAAGTTGTCGATTCGCTCGGGATACTCAATGTCGAGTTCTGCCAAGCCGTACGTGTACTTGTCGGACATGGATTTTTTCATGACGGGCCTTAGAAAGGAATGCAAACATGCCAGCACGGAAGGTTGTCGTAAAACTTTGATTTCCTTGCGTAGCATGGGGACGAAGCACAATAGTTCGTGCCATTTTTTGGATTCCAATTGGAAGGAAATGTTGCTCCAACTGACGCCATCGCATTCAATGACTTGCCGGAATCCGTCTCGAATGCTTTGAATATCGGGTTGTGTCGCTAGAATCTGGTAGTAAAAGCCTCCCAGCAGGATGCGGTATCCTTTGGGGTCGTCCATGACACTTTGGGGATTGAACTTGGCCATATCGGCCACCATGACGTGTGCTCCATTGCCATCGTCGTTGGGACATTCGTCAATGGATAGAATACATCCCGGATGATGAATGTTATTCTTGCGCAAAATGTCAATCGCCTCATCGACATTGTCATTGATGTTATACATCATGCGAAAGGCTTGCATGCAAATGGCTCTCTCCAAGGATCGCTCAATGTCATCTCGGTCCACAATGGCAAAGGCCGCAATTTCCATATCACTAATGGCCGACTCGAGGATCTCTTCTTCTTCTGCCATGGCTTGCTTAATGGCTAGCGCCCATTCCCGTTCTTGGTCGGTCAGCTGCATGCGAGGATTGGGGCCTCCTTCGTCTGACGCCTTGCGTTTGCGGCCTCGCGATTCAGTGTCATTCGCTGTGTCTTCATTATCGTTTGCTGCAACATGTTGTGCCGGCATCATCGCGGCTGCTTCCAACAGTTGGAACCACATAGGATCGACGTTGCGGTTGTTGGGAGCTTCGCCGTTCAGATTGAGAACCTCTGGGGGTATCTGATGGTCCATGACTCCATTGATAGCAACCGCATCGTCATCTGGAGGCGCCATGGTCTTGTGTGATCGAACGGAGCAGTGCGGTATCTTATGAGGGAGTGAAAAAGATGAAGAGCGATACAAGCAGGGGTAGTTGAATAACACTTCGGGTCAATAGAAGTGAGTACATGTAATGAGAGATGAGGAGGCAACTTGTGAGTTTTGAGCCAAACACTGGTATTTTAAAATAAATGTTGCAACAGCTGTTGCAACTTGCCACCAATTCTGCGCTCGGCGATCGGCGAAGGTAAAGAAGAGTACAATATTTCGACACAATAAGTTAGAAGTTGAGTTTGGAGGTTCTCTTGCGAAGTCCACGAAGAACAGCGTCTCTATCTTTTCCATTTCCTTTTCTTTTCATTGTCCCTGCGCTGTCCTTGGCAGTTCGTCTCTGTCTGGCTAGATTTATTGATTAAGCCTTCCTTGCTCTTGCTCCAACTCAAAAGCTCAGAAGCACTCAGCATCTCAGCATCTGCACATCTGCACTATGCATACCGGTAGGGTAGGCTTGATAGCTTGATAGAGTAATTGTGGGGTCTAGGTTATTGTACTACTAGCTAGCTATTGATTTGGAGATGATTGGAGATCACATCGATCCTTCATCCTTCGCACTTCGCAACAGTTAGACTACTGTATCCAATAGCTACCGGTATCCAATCATTAAGCATTAACGCTCCAGATGAAGAAACCAAAGATACTTACTGAGTCTTACTGTACTTCCGTCGGTGGTGCATTTATTTCGTTCGCATAAATTACTCCGTACAGCATAAAATTACAGCTGCAAAAATCAGTGCTGTACCTACCGTCCTACCCTACCGGGTACAGCACTGCAGCATAAAGAAAGCTGTGTTGAATAACGAAGCTGGCAGCTCCTGGTGGCTGACAAAGTTTTATGTCAAGGCTTCAGTGGATTGTCAGCCGGATTGTCCATGAGATGTCCATGTTGGTTCTTCGTTTTCTTTTGATTTGCCGCGACTCACTCATCGTTTTCCAACGATTACAACCCACTACTAGTCTAGGTAGTTGGCTTAAAAATATAGCCTTTGCTTGAGACTATGCATACATGTTTTGCTAAAATCCATGTACCCTACCGTACCGGTGTCTTGCAAGCATTGCACCGCTATTTGCTCAAGGGCTCCCGGCTTCCAGCACCGTGCAAACAAGAAGAAGAAGGACGGATGTAATGACACTATTCTCCTCATCAGGTTCTAATGGGGGCTCCATAATCTATGTCAAACGGCGACCCACCAAACGCCACCAGTACCTACCTGTTCGTTGTGTGCGTGCAAGTGACTTCCGTTACGCCACATCACGGGCATCTTTCAGTGCCCACCGGAAGTCGGGATCCTCCATAATGTGAGGGTCCATCAGATTTTGGCTCTGAAATCAACCACCACCAAAAAAGGAAACCCGAGATTCAGACCATACCGTACCCCGGTACCAGATGTACCGTACCGTATCGATCCTGTCCACTCCAGGGAAAATCCTTGGACGTCCAGCGTTTGTGCATCGTTTTGCAAACAAGAATGCTATGAGTTATTGGTTACCCATGTGACGCGTGCATAGGGTTGAACTATCAACTTCCTTGAGATCTTCCCAGTTATGCGGTTCCTTCAAAATAGAGTAAGACAACTAGGTACCGGTAGCTAGTAACTCAGACTGCGGACGTGCGGAAGTCCACAAGCTGAATTGCCCCGGCTTGCTTGAGGGACACTGCCGGGAGAAAGCCTTGTCCTCCCAGAGTTGTATCAATTTCTTGGCGAAGATTCTGAAACAGCACAAAGGTTTCCCCGCCATCCACAGAAGCCGACAAAGTTCCATTGCCGTCAGAAGTATCAAGCAAGTCGAGAGTCAGGGATACGTAGGAGCCCATGCCAAACTTTGGATGAACACAGTCTGGTTGAGGTGAATAATGGAACGAAATGCCGCTGCTTCCGTAGACCCACCCATTTTTCTGCTTTGACAAAGATTCCGTCGTACGATACGAAGTATTGGTGTCGGCAGACTGCAGCGCAACACCAACCCAGACTGGGCGACAGTACTGAGTTACGTGGACTGTCCACTTGTGGACACCATCGTGCAAAGGCGAGATCTTCAACGCCTTGGTGTCATGACCGAAGCAGTAGTCACCGTTGCACGAGGTACTCATGGATCCCTCCCAGATCGGCAAGGGAATGCGGTGCTCTTGAATGGAGCCGCCGTCGTAGAGAGCAACAGCTTGGCTTTCCGTAACCGACGATGCAAGCTGAGGGGACACGATGAGCTCGAGACGAATTTGCTGCGTGAGTTCCATCGCCTTGCTGCGACAATGAGGATCTTGGGCATCGGGTGAATGCCCAAGCCACAGTCGGAGCATTTCGAATCGATCAAACTCGGAGGCTCGGTGAGAATCGTCTTGAATAATCACTTGCAACACCGAAAGAGCGACGTTCTGCATGACACTGGCGGAGATGTCCTCGCTCTGGAAGATCGACTTGGCAAAATCTAGCACCTGTGTGACCAACGGGTTGCACCAGTTGACGCTGACTTCGCAAAGTGCAAACGAGAACGATGGTGAAGACTTGACCGCCCCTGCCAAGCTCTTTCGTGCCATTGTAGCAAGGCCAGGACATTCAAAGTAGCATGCAGCTTCAGAAAGGGAGACAAGGGACTCGACGCGTTCGACGTAATATCGACGGTCTTGATCATTGGGAGTGTCATCGTCGTTGGCTTCCAAAAGCTGGCATTTGTTGGTGTGGAGATACTCTAGGAGGGCCTTCAAAGTACCGCCTGGAAAATCGATTGCTACGATGGCTTGAGTGGCCTCAACAAAGTCGCCCAGGAGCATGGAGCGGAAAACGTCGTTTCTCATCGCGAGAGCACATCGGTTGGCAGAGACAACGACAGTGTCATTGCCTCGAAAGGAGACATCATGCGCTGCTTTGTCCGTCAAGAAACGAGCAAATGCTTCTTCAACAGTGATTTCCTTCTTGGTGCTCGTACTAGTAGTAGTATCCATGATGCTCGTATCCGTCATGGTCGTAAAGCGTTTGTCTTCCACTCTTTTGGCGGTTCTTCGAAATTATGAGGCAACGACTGCCTCAAAGTTGAGTGCCTTGCATTTCGGGGTGGTTTGTGAAAGACCGCTCTGCTGGATTAATTGCCACTCACAATCTCACAATGATCTCCCACCACAAACGCCCATCTCAGTCCTTCCGTCTTGACTGACTGACTGACTCCATGCACAAGGACTATCGCTGCTGCCTTTCACCCACCAGGAAATTCCGTCTGCTAAGTAACGATGTTGCATTTCTGTTTCTTTTGATTATTTGGAAGACCCTGCTTGTACATTCCTTTGCCTTGTTACCGGTACCACTACAAGTAGTAGTTCCACCGCGATCATCATGTCATCGTTTGGCCCACCAAGGTGACGACAACAACAGCCATGAGGAAGAAGAAGAAGACGATTTGATTCGTTACCGAGGCCGTGTATCGTACGATGGATCCTCCTATCAAGGGTTTCAAATCCAACTGGGCAAGAAGAGTGATGCTGCTACCATTCAAGCCGCGTTGGAAGATGTACTGCAACGACGATTTACCCGAAATATCCGTGTGGTGGGTTCTGGCCGAACCGATTCCGGTGTCAGTGCGCGAGGACAAGCCTTTCATTTTGATTTGACCTCAAAGGAGCACGCCCAACTAGAAGAAAGAAAAGTGCCGTTGGATCATGTTTGGAATCGCATGCTGCCCGACCAGGACATTCGAGTCTACCATGTCGGTCCAGCACCACCTCCACGAGAAAAGACAAAGACTACCAGTACTCGCCTGTTTCCTTGGAATGCCATTCATGATTCGACTCGCAAATTGTATTCCTACCGCCTTTGTGTGGGACCTGTACTGCATCCTCTGGATCGATTCCAACGATGGCAAATCCCAAACGATGGCAAATTCGTGGATTTGGACAAACTACGAGACGCACTCGCAAAGTATGAGGGAACCCATGATTTCCGGGCATTTGCCGGTGCCGTGGAACAATCGGAACGACGTGCCCAACGCAAAATCCATTCGGTGCGAACCATTTACAAGTGTGAGTTGGTAGAAGAAAATGGTGACGAAGGATACTACCGCATCGACATTGTCTTGTCGGGAGCCCTCTACAAAATGGTCCGTAACATGGTGGGAGTTGCCGTGGATGTGAGCCGTGGCCGCATTGACATGACTACCTTGCAACGACTGATT